CTCTCTCTCTCTCTCTCTCTCTCTCTCTCTCTCTCTCTCTCTCTCTCTCTCTCTCTCTCACACACACACACACACAGAAGAGACTCTCTAAGAAATTCACATACAGACTTAAGCAGATACACAGATACACACACACACACACACCATACATAAATCTACATACCCACAGACACAGTAACACAGACATATACAGAGTCATGCACACACAGACAGTCTCACAGAAACATGCTGCACACAGAGAGAGACACATACATATATACACAGGTACCCTCACAGAGATATCCATGCAGAAACACATAGGTAGACAAACACAGAGACACCTCACACAGATGCACACTACAACACAGACACGTTCATAGACACAAACACACACAGATACAAAAACACTGAGACACACAAAGACACACATAAACATACATTCCTACAGCCACAGAAATACAAAACCATTTCTCTCTCCTTGCCTCTGGTTCTCTATCTCTTTCTCTGAAAAAAAATAAAAAAGAACTTTATTGTGTTCAGTTCTCTTTGTGTGCCTCTTTCTGTTTATCTCTTTAAAAAACACAAAGAAACATTCTTGAGCTCAATTTCTAACTGTCCCTAAATCTTAAAGGAGCAGATGTTGACCTTTGACATGTTTCAGGGCTCTAAAGACATACCACCATTCCAGGCCCTATTCCTTCCTTGGCCGGAAGCCCAGAGTGGGTTTCATGGATGGATGGGTCCAGCTGGAAACCTACAGCAGTGTTTGAGCAGGACAGAGGATTATGATGACCATGGTAACTACACATGACCCTTAAAGTCTTATTTATTTATTAACCTTTGAGGTGTTATTTGGTAAGAATCAACAGAAAACTGTTCTGGATTAGGCAGAATATTAAGGACCTTCACCTTCATTATGAGTACACATAGAGACACACGAGTATATGTGCTGAAAATCCTGTAACAGTTCAGTCATTTCAAAATGCAATGCACAAATGTTCTTAAACGTTTGTGATTGCCTCCAACTCCCTGCAGATAAAGGTAACAAAGCATTCGCCATTCAAGCTGCTCCTAATCTCCCTGCGGGGTTTTCTAATGTAATTTTAAGACGTAAAATGTATTCATGATCACACCAATAATTACATGCTTGGAAAATAAAATGATTTTCTTATTTCCCATTAACATTAATTGTTTCCAGAACTTCAGCCTCTAGCAAGAGCCTGTCAGTGCCGTAGGGCAGCAATGCCCGTGGGGCCAAGCTGCTGCCGAGTAGGAGCTTGGCAATACAAATCATCAATACACACATTTAAATCTCGTGTTGCCATAATTTGATTTTTCACATAATTTGCCAAGTCTCCCATCACCTCAGCAGCCTTTTCCTCTAGTGATTCATAGGGGTTCCTTCTGTAATGTAGTTAGAAATTTGCAAATATCTCCACCGAACCTATATCTTATCTTTTCCACTTCTTTTAAACTACCTTTCCTGGTTTCAGACCATTGAATTTATTTATTTTTAATGATAGTAGATAGGATTTTAGCTACAGTTTCTCCCAGTGGAAATTAACCAAATGTTGGGAAATGATTTTTAATGTCTCAACCTTATCCAGTTGGGAATTATTTGAATTTGTTTGGATAAATCTCCATGTATACATAGATTAGAGACAGATCTTGTTCCTCTCCACCCCTCCTTTTCTTTCCCCCTTCAGCCTCCTGAACACTGCGATTACAGGTTTTTGCCACTAAGTACACACTGCCTTTCTTTATCATTCATAATTACGGTAGAAAAAAAAAACCTCTAAATAACGGTTTTTGTGTGTCTCTTCAGCTGGCTCCACCGACCCACTTGTGGCCGTCCACCCGACCGACCCCAGTGTAAAACAGCAAAATTCAGGATAATTAAAATTTGATGGAATACTTTCCTAATTGGTTCCTCTTGTCATCTGAAATGCTTGAAATGCCACGACCCCACCCCACCCCCTACCCCTGCAAAATGTCAGCTATTTCCCCCCGAACCCTCTGGCAGCAACTCTTTTCAAGGCTGTCCTTTTATGTTTTATCTCTGTGGATTCCTCCGTGGTAGGTTCCCTGGGAAAGTCTTCTTTAGGCTCCACTCTGCATTTAGGCCATTTCCCGGCTGCAGATAACTTAAAGTCCAAGAGTCTCTCTTTCTAATACAGCTGTACTTTCAACCTCAGGAGGCGCCTGCTCTTCCCTCCACCCAAATCCTCAAACATCTGCTTGTAACCAAAGGAATAAATCCCCACTTTCTTGAGAAGGGATGAAGTCCAGGCCCATCCAACTTTGTTGTTTCAAAGTGATATTTTTTTTAATTCCCATTTCGCCTTATGGCGGTTGGGAGCGTTCACTACTCAGGCTATAGTGCCATCTAGCAACCAGAAGAGGAAGTGTCTGGCTGGAGGAAAGTGACTTCCATACAGCTCTGCAGCAATGGAAAAGAACAGATTCTGAACCTCACAGCACCGACGACGATGGGGCTGGTGAAGCAGAGTGTTTAAAATGACAAAAATCATACCTCCTATAAATATTTAAATAATATACCACTGTGAAAAATAACTACGAGTTTGTGCCCCATTTCCCCATCTCCAACAACCAGATTAAATCCTTATTTCAAACTGAACAACATCTGAAAAGGAATTGATGATTCTAAATATACAACCAAATGAGTTTACAAAAAAAGAACACAGATTGCTTTTGCACTTTTGCAATTGTTTTTGTGATTTGTAATTGTTCTCCATTTGTAAAATCTCATAGAC